TGAGTTAAAACACTTACAAAATCAGATACAGGAACTTAGGAATAATATATATTAACCCCTTAATTTAAAATACAGTACAGCTATGTCCGTAGTATATTTTATAAATATAGGAGTGTTTTTATGAAGGAGAAAGGAACTAACATTGTTTAATAATAGAATTTGAGATTGACCAAAAAAACCTTTTCCACAAAAGGTAGACTTGATCTGTGCTTGCAGTTGGGTAGACCATATTTTCACATTACCTGAAAAATTTAAGCTTTTAATAAGCATATATTAATAGGAAAGTAGGAAATAATTTAGTTTTAGTTTTCAAATACAAAATGTGTTTATCAGTAACTTTGGGCAAGTTGGTTAATCTCATGTTTCTCTCATTAGTAAACTGTAGATACTATCTACATCGACTTTTCCAGACTTTCTGTGGAGAAACTAGGGGTGACAACCCAGATGAAGAGGGAGGTTAGGGATTTAGTCTTGAAGCTGTGTCTGTGTTTAAAAAGGATGTGGTTTGACTCAGCCTGCGAGTTGACTTGCTACGGCTTTGCAGGAGGCTGATGGGTACTACTGTGGGGTTACACTTAGAGTGTAGGCGTCAACTCCACAGCATGGCCGGTATTCCATTAGGAAATGAAAGAATACCTGGTTCCTGTTCCTTCTGCACCTCCAATGTATGGACAAGAGCAATACTCTCCTCTGAAGCCGCAAAGAATGTAAAACTCCAGAACTGATAACTTTTATTTAGATAACTTGCTGTCTGACAAAGCTTAGGCTACTGGCACAGGTATTTCCATTACCACATAAGCATTCATTAGCCACAGAGTATGACATAAACAGTTTCACATGTGCATAAGAAAGAATATTTAAGGAACAGCTTGCACTGCCTTCTGGTTTTGAATCTTTCATTCTTTCTCCAGAGGAAATAAATACAAACTACTGATTAGTCTCTAGATTCATATTCTTTCCCATGTCTTAGTAGAAATAAAGCATTTGCATGAATACTCAAGAGACAGGCAAGACAACAGGGGAGGAAAAAAGGCCTTAGAAATGATCAAATGAGCAAACCAAATGATCGATTCATGAATATTTATGAGCTGCTTATAATGACAATGGGATCCTATTAATACTAACTAAAACGTGTACAATTTAAGAATTTGCATAAAATATTCATAAGTCATTTATATTTCCAGTTTTCAATCACTCTTCTACAACTACACCCTTGGAATTCCCCAAATAGAACCATTATCTTTCTATTAGAACTGGCCTTAATACAAGTCAGTGTCTACATTTTATTTTTCTAAAAGTTAACTGCCTTCGCATTTAATTCACCTATTAAGTGGGGCAACAGGGTAAGTATGTACCATTCAACAAACACGACTGAGTGCGTGCTAGGTGCTGGGTACCGTGCTAACTGCTGAGAATAGAAAGCCACAATAATGGCCTTGCCCTGGTCACACTCTCCATAAACTGATGAATTTCTCCACCACAGGTGCTGAAAGAGACAGGGACAGAGTGCTATGGAAGGAGAGCATGGGGGGACGTGGAAGCCTGACTCAGGGTTCCTTTCACAAAGAGATGTTGGGCTGGATTTTCCCGTCTTCCTTGTGATGCGCTTTGCCAGGCAGGAGAGATAGCACAGCAGCGGAAAAGGGAAAAGAACCACGTGTATGCTGGAATTAAAATAAATGTGGTCATGATAGGTGGCCATGCCTGTGTTCTAACTGGAGAAAATGTTACAATTTTAACCTGTTTCTGACAGAGAATATATTTATTCTCTGAAAAGTTGGGGGGGGTGTGGGGTTTTGTCTCCTCCTCTCCTCAGGAACTGATATTTATTGAATGTCTGTAAGTCAACACTATATGACTATATATCTATGCTCTCAAGAGAGCAAATGCAAAACAACTTTGCAAGGTAAGTCATGTTATCTCTATTTAACAGATAAGGAAACAAGCTGAAAGTGGGTAAGAATTTCTCTAAGATCCGTCTGGCCCTAAGGCCCATGCTTTTTCCCCCATGCTACCTCCAAAGAAAGGTGTTCTGTCTGAAAATGGAACTAGGGCCACGGTTGGAAAAGCATGAATAATAGTAAACAAAAACAGACACTGTTTGAAGAAGTTTACATGTATTAATTTATTAATCCTCCCAATCTCCTTGAGGGGTGGGTACAGTTATCACTGCCACTTAACAGATATGGAAACTGAGGCACAAAGAAATCTGATAACTTGCCCTTGCCCTATCAAGGTGTTGGTAACTGGCAGAGCCAGGACTGAAATTCAGATAGTCTGGCTCCCGTGTCCCTGTGCTTAAGGACTCCACATTCCACCTTTTCATTCAGACCAAAGCCTAACTCTAGACCACCAGCAAAGACCCTGCTGGGAAAGATATCCCAGGCGGAAGGCACAAAATGGTGAAGAGATCTTATGTCCCGAAATAATAGTGAGAAAAAAGAACTTTAGTGTGGCTTAAGAATCGAGTCTTGATTGATGAGGAGATGGGAGGACAGTAGGAGGAGGGATATGAAGCAGGAAAGATAGGTCTTTTTCCTTAATGCTATGCAGATGAAAGGCTGTTAATTTGCATTTTCTGGCTTTTTTTTTTTAAACAGGAAATTTCAGTGCAAAAAAAGCATTTTCAATATTAAAACAGAGAAATGCATAATGGTATTATATTGCATGCATATATAGACCAATCACTCACTTGCAAAGATGCCCAAACATTCTCTACTTGAGTCTCTAGGAATTGACCACTTTATTATATTGTATTTTGACAGAACATGAGACTTCTAATAATTATTTGAAAAAGCAGATTCATCACACTTTAGATTTTTGCAACATATTGTTGCATATTTATGCCACAATAAAATTATTCAGCTAAATGTAATATCTTTCAAAAACTTTAGTGTTTTTAAAATAATCAACTCCAAAATTTAAAAAAACTATCATTTGATCTAAATATATTCTCATCAACCACCAGATGGCATAAGGTGTGAGAGTTTTATTCTGACAAGTCAACCATGCCCATGATAATTTGACCTGTAACTTCAAAATAACGTATTTGGAAAAGTGTTCTCGCACTCAAACAGCTCACAATTATTTCAGCCATATGTAGAAGTGTATGGATAAGTTGAAAATGACATGGCCCTACTATTTCTAAACTTGGGGTTCTGTGGGATGCTGGCATTACATAATGAATATATGTATTGATGATGTAATCATGAATTGATGATCAAATAAATAAAACAAAGCAGTTCTGTTAAGGGAAATAAAAAAGGAAGTCATGTCAAAGCAAAATTAACCTTATATTCTAAGTAGCTTTCTTTAACTCTAAACGAAACTTGAAACATGGCTTCAAGAAAAAAACATGCTTGTACTCCTTCAAATTCTGCTTTAAAAAACCTTTCTATTGCCTATAATTTATTCTGAAAGCAGAAAAGTATCGAATGCAAAAGCTTTTCTCCACTTTGGCTTGAAGGGAAGTTGTCACAGACGTCAACTGAAAAAAGAATATCCAACCGAAAAACCCAATCTGAATTATGATGTTAAAGGACAGGAAAGTATTTTTTAAGAACTTCAATTTCTACACAAATTCAAAATACAGCACATTATTTTTATTAATCCTGTATTTCCATTTATTAGCAAGCTAAAGAGCTAAAAACTAAGGTAAATGAGGTAAATGCCAAAAAAAGAGGAGGGATCTTTAATTCCCCTTGTGTTGTATAGAATATTTACCGAGTACTTTGAAATAAGTGTACTAGAATAAGTAAGTACTATAGCCTAGCCAACATCACAGGGCTTTGCTCTAGTATGATGAAAAAGAAAAACTGCCTTTAAGACTCAAGTGACCAAAGATGAGATTAAGATCCCTTCAACGTAGTCTAATAGTCAATGATTTCTGGAGATACTGTAATAGTTTAATTTCATATTTTACTATATACTTCCTCGTTAGATGAAATAATTTGGTTCCTGGATGAAAAATCTGTGGAAGAGGAAAAGATATCTGGAACTATGAGAAGGATGAAAAGCTAACTGGTGATATATAAACAGGGTTCTGTTTTGTTTTTTTCCAATTTTTTAAAAGAGTTTATTTAAGAGAGAGAGAAAGAGAGTGCACATGCACACAAGTGGGGGAAGGGGAGCACAGGGAGAGAGAGAATCTCAAGCAAACTCCCCACTGAGCCCGGAGCCCCAAGTGGGGCTCCAACCCACAACCCTGAGATCATGACCGGAACCGAAATCAAGAGTCGACAGCTTAACCAACTAAATCACCAAGGTGCCACTTTCCTAGTTCTAAGTCATATGTTGATAAGGATAATAGGAATGGGCATAAGAGAATTAATGCAGAGGGTATTGTGAGAGTCCTTCACTGTGCCTCATGTCCATCTTTATTTTTGGCAGTCAATAGGTGAAAATTAATAAAGGGAACCCTCACTAAAATGGAGTTGGGGGGCAGAAGGTAGAGCCCTACTACCCAACATCAATTACAAGAACTGTCCATTACAGAGGAATCATCAACAGAAAAGAATCCTCAAAACCCTCAGTTACAAATACCAACAGGGAAAGATGTACATTGCATCTCCTGTAAGAAACTGACTACTCCAGCAACTCAGCCAATGACAAACGGGCATCATTCTGAACACTTGCTTTTCTCCCATGGACTTCCTTTCAAAACAACTCTTCCTAACTTCTTCTATAAAGTGACATTCCTCTTCCTAATTTCTTGGACTTGCCCTGTGGTTTTGACCTAGCTTGCAAATCCCAAATTGCTAGTCCCTGCTATTCCTGAATAAACCCATTTTTGTTGGTCAAATAATTTACATTTCTAAGGTTAATAGTAGCAAAGATGTTTCCCACCTGGGTTCATAGGAAAAGAAAAAATGATACGACTAATTCTTGTTCTTATGTTTAGAAAAAAGCATCCATTGTTATTTCCAAAGATTTCTTCTGATGACTCAGTTGGACAGTAGAAAGTAAAATGATAGCTATTTAAGTTAATACAAAGTACTTACTTTAAATTCCATTCTTTAGGATGCTGTAATTCAGCTTTCTTCCATTTATAATACTCTACAACAAAATTTGGATCTTCAAGCACTGAAATTAGAGTTTTGAAAAGGGAGCTGTGTATGCATTCTTTAATAATAGTTCAAAGTTTAAAATAATTTACTTTTCATCAAGTCGATATATGGCAATGATGTACACTATATAGTTCAAGTCATACTACAATGCTCACTTTACGAATTTCTTCCTTTTACTTGAACTTTGAAACAAGTAGATTTATCTTCAAAGTTTTCATTATAATAACATTTGTTTATATATCATTTATAGTAATGAAGAAGGTGTTAAAATAACTCATATAGAAACTACAGACACCACAGTTTAACACCACACTCACTACAAGTGAAAAAATAAAATCTTAGAGTTGGAAGTGACATTATAGGTCTTGATCTTCCACAAAGCAAGAATTGTCAACAGATGATCACCCAATCCAGCCTCTGAATGAATCCCTTGCCAATGACAGAAAACTCCCCTCTCTGTTCTTGGGAAACTGCCTGTTCCATTGCCAGACAGTAAGGTCACAATGTCTTTCTTAATCTGAGTGCTGCGTTTCCACTGGTTCTAGTTCTGACCTCTGGAGCAATACTAACTAGATTCATCCTTTCCCCATGGGAGAGAGCCCTTCTAATATTTGAAGATAGCTCTCAGAACAGCCTCAGTTCCCTCAACTTCATCTTAAGACATGGCTTCTAGAGACCTAAGCATCCTCACCATCCTGGTGGTAAACTTTGTTAATGTTCCTACTAAAGTTCACATCCAGAACTGGCTCAGGATCTTGATTTCTTTTGAATAGCAAAGGGGTAAGTGGGTCACTACCTCCCTTGACCTGTGTGGTACACTTCTATTAATTCATCTCAGATCTGTAGTAGGATTTTCTGGAAATCACAGTATACCACTGGCACATATGTCTGTGGTTAATTATAAGCCTTATGCCTTCAATCAAATTAACATAAAATTTATTGAAAGCCAGATCACTCACACACACCTTATCTATCTATCTATCTATCTATCTATCTATCTATCTATCTATCTATCTATCTATTTCCCTGTTTCTTGTAATTGTCCTGGGTTTATAGTCTTGAACAATTTAACCAACTAGATGCTCTCCACCAGACTTACCTTTATCTGGAGCTTCCCTCTAAACAATGATTGATTAACCTCTGCTAGCCTGATGAAATATGTCATTAATAGAAACATTTAAACTGAATAGTTTTCATTTTCTTAATATTACATAATTTTCACCAGCAATGTTCCTTTGATTTTTTTCTTCCTTCAAATACAAATACACATACATACACTCTTTTCTTTTTAAGATTTTATTTATTTTATTTGAGAGAGCACAAGTGAGGGGAGGAGCAGAGGGAGAGAGAAAAGCAAACTCCCCACTGAGCAGGGAGCCCTGGATGGAGCTCAATCCTAGGACCCTGGGATCATGACCTGAGCTGAAGGCAGACACTTAACCAACTGGGCTACCCAGGCACCTCCACATACATATTCTTATAGCCTTTATTAATATTCTTTTTGTTAGTATTTAGACTTATGCTCCTCCATTCCTTATTAAGGAAGCAAATCTGAGCTCCCTAGGGTTCTTAGGTCTCATTATTTCATTTAGATGATTATAGTAACTAATAATAGAGTTCTTCCTACACATTGGACACCTGTAAAGTAGGTAAGCAGTGGTTACCATTACAATATACACTTTACAGATGAACACACAGAAAACTGAGTAATGTCTTCTCATTGGGACTATTCATTACCACTTAGACGAAATTTAAATTTGAGGTTTCAAGGATAATTCATATATTTCCTTAATTTTGAAATCACCTTTCCTACATTTTCTATTTGAATATGTACATTAGTTTCTTCCTTATATGTTATGAAACCCCAAATGGCATGGTCATCCTTCCTGAATATTTCCATTAATTTTATATCATTGACTCATCTTCTTCATTGCTTTCTCTACTGAGAGATGAAAAATGCCACAGTATTTGTACAAACTTTTATTTTAATGCTTCCTATTTTATCCCTATAATTTTTTCATTCACCATTCTACCATCTGACCATAAACTTCTTAAAAAGCTTAGCATAATATGTATGTTGTCTCTAACACACAGCCCATTGTCTACACATGGAAGATGCTCAATGAGGGATGGTGATAAGAGGGGAATAATGCAGGGGGAGGGGGCACGTAAGAGCAAGTAGGAGGAAAGGACCAGTGAAATTTTGTCAGAAGTTTTTGAAGCTGAAATTTCCCATCATGACCATATCTCATCTTTGTGGCAGTTTTGTAGTCTGTGTTAAAAAATCATCTTCTGTTGGCTCCATAATACACTTATTTCTTCCCTTCCTTCTAAGGATTACTGTACATTACTTTTACTTTGTTTTTTTCCATGGCACATCTCTTGTCCAACATCTGTATAAGTTGATCTAAATTTTTCTTCCACTGCTGGGACTGTCACATCCCAAGAAACATAATAGCATCAACTTGCCTTAGGATGTTTTATTTTCACACATATTATCTCATACTAACCATAGAGCAACTTAAAATAGAGTGGAATGCTTCTGTCAATGAAAAGAAATGAAAAATGAGGCACAAAGAGTTAAATGACTAACCTAAATTCACCTAACTGTATGTGGCAGAAGCAGTACAGAGCTATGGAGTCTTTAACTTCCAACCTCATGCTCTTCCCATTGCAGCCTTTCCAACCTTGGTTGCACATTGTAATCACCTGGGGACCTTTAAAAACTTGACTACCACCAGCCCCTGCCCCCAAAGATCCTGATGTCAGTCTGGGGGTGTGCCTTTTACACGGGAAGTTTTACAAGTTCCTCTGCTGGTTCTAATGAGCAGTCAAGACTGAGAACCATTGCATTAGAATGAGGTGATGCTGCCTCTTGCATCTAAATGCATTCTGGAGACACTTACCCTTATTTCCAGCTCAAAGACTCAAAGAAGGGAAGTCTTTTAGGGTGAAAGCAAGCATCCTCATGATGTTTCAGGGTGTCTGGTCTGTCTGATGACAGCAAACCAACACCAGGAAGCCTCCACTCAGTATTACAGGTTACACTGGTCTGAAGGAATTCTTTTCCCTTTAACATAAATATTTCCTTATGGGGATCATATTCTGTCATTAAGGTGCTCTTGCCCACAACCATATGTATTGGTTTGTTCTCTCCCAGACTTTTATTTGCCATTCTATACTGATGGACAGAGAACAGTGGATCATCAGTACATTTCCCCATATGATTGCCTATGATTATAAACTAATAATTATAATTATTGAAAAATATACTGCATACACTTCAGAGTTTGAATTTAAATCTCAGGCTACATAGAGATAGCATTTTTATACCACACTATGGAGGCAGTATAGCATGATAAAAAGAGCAACAGATGTGGAGTCAGAGGAACTGGGTCAAGTCCTAGAGCGACAGCCTACTTGTACTAATTAATAACAGCCACCTTCATTGAGCACTCACTATGTGCTAGGCACTATTTTAAGTGCTTCAGTGCTATGAGATATGTGCTGTAATTATTCTCATTTTACAGACAGGGAACTGACACAGAGAGGTTAAGAAACTCACCCAAGGTCATATAGCTAGTAAGTAGCAGAGCCAGAATTAAATCTCAGCAATCTGGCTCTAGAATTTATACTCTTTACCAATATATAATATCCCCTCCTACCTGTGTGACTTTAGGTAAATTATTTAGCTTCTCTTGGTCTTCTCATCTCTAAGACAGAGAAATAATAATAATAATGCCTGGTTCATAGGCTTGATATACTACTATGCATGACATAGATTAGGCATTCAGTAAACATTGGTTGACAAATGAATAAAAGAATAAGATGAGGATGATTAAAAAACAATACAGAGTATACTTTGTAAACTGTATTGTACATGAATAAACTTACTATTACTATGGCACACATGACTATGGATAGATTTGTAGCACAAAGATATGGAAAAGAGTTAATACCCCAAATCAAAATATAACCACTCATCAGTATGAATAAAAAAGCTTTTAAAAATAGGCACAAGAGTTTCATAATCTTTGCAGTGATAAGAATGTAACTGTAGAGGGGCACCTGGGTGGCTCAGTTGGTTAAGCATCCTACTCTTGATTTCAGCTAAGATCATGATCTCAGGGCTGTGACATTGAGCCCCGTGTTGGACTCTGAGCTGGGAGTGGAGACTGCTTAAGATTCTCTCTCCCCACTGCCCCTACGTCTCTCTAAAAAAATAAAATAAATTTTTAAAAAAGAATGTAACTGTAGAAACTGAAGTTATTAGAAGTTTCCCTTTTATTTCTCAGTAGCTGAAGAAGCATTCTATAATCTCAAAACTTCATCTTTATTATTGCCAGGAAATTAGGCTGTTAAAAAAGAGTATTGGATCTCATCCAGCTGAATTATCCAAAGACAAAATGGCCAGCAGCACATGTAAGGTTTAAATTTAATTTTTAAAAATTAAGTGCTGGTTATTATTAAAGGAAAGCTCCTGAAACATTCTTATAACAAATCCCTAGGGGAAGAACAGGCAGGGTGATTGTGAAATCTTGCACCAAGGACTAGAATCAGTCTCAGAAACTCTTCTGGGCTAGAGGCAGCCACTAAAGCTATTGCCTTTGCAAAAGGGGATAAATTACATACTAAGTAGTGATAACCATGGAAATGAGAACCAAATTAAACATTTTAGTGTCAACTCTTTTGAAGAAGAAACTGCAGTCAGTGGTACTTCATTATTTCCTTCCATTTTTAATTGTTTTTTTATTGCAAGACAATAATTTTCAAATTCCCTGAAGTTCTGGCATGTGCTTCTATTTGTTTTTCTTAGCAGTTTGAAGTTTCCAAATGCTTCTATATATTTACATGTTATTCCATAAGACACCATTTTCTTGGTTTGTTTTGTGGTTGAAGGAGTTGGATGCTGAATCTTTCCCTAGATTGTGCCAACTGCCTCTGGACGCCTTGTTTGTTAAGGGTTCCTGCCTCCTGGAGCCCATCTGAGTTCCTCAGTGTTTCCACATAGGAGGTACTCAAGATGTGTTTGCCGAGTTGACTAGGCAGCACCCAGCCAAAAATCTATGAAATGAATACTCATGTACTCTGGCATCAAAAGTAATAAAATTCTTTATATTGATAGTGTTGCCAAAGATTGTGTTTCTTTAAGCACCTTAATAATTTTTCATAACCACTAATCTATGATTAGTGAGGAAGGTAATGGGTGATCAAAAAATAATACCCAACATCCTGAAAGAACAAGTAATTTCTTGGAAGTTACTGATCTAATTTATTTTTAAATATTTGTTAAGCTTGGCATTACTTTTTGCTCTAATTTGTGCCTTAAAACTACAAACTTTTTTGGTGATATTTTGTTCTATTGAAACCAAATATGAGACGATCACTATAATGAGATGAAATTCAGTGAGACCACAGATTAAGGCAGTGGTCATCAGGGTGGAGTGGAGAAGGAAACACTCCTAATGTTGTAGGAGATAAAGTAAACAAGGCTTCATTTGGCAGGTAAAGAGCTCTAAGAAGCGTCTATGATTTTGGTTTAGACAAGTAAATGCAGTAACAGTGATCTAGCACTAGCCAAGGGAGGTAATAATGGTGGGAGGATAGGTTTTGGGGCAAGATCATGAATTAACTTTGGGACATCTTAAGTAGGAGATGCCTGAAACCCATGTAGGTGAATGTCCAATGGACAGTTGTAAATATGCATGCAGAATTCAGAAGAGGGCCTGACCAGAGATGAGGCTTTGGGAATTACTGGCAGGTAGGCATAGCAAAAAAGAGTACAAGTAAGATAAAGGCTAAAAGTTATCATTGAACCTGGGAGTTAGGAGGTCATGGGTCACTTCTGAATGCTCCATTTCAGCAGGATAGCAGGGCAGCAGACTGGATAACCTACTTGGATCTAAATCATGAAATAGCACACTAAAGATTCAATTAGATGGGACAGAAAGTTGTCCTGCTCTCCCCTTCCGTCTTTTGAGCTCCTAATATATGTAATTTTTTCCTTAGACATATAATTGAAAGCTCTAGGTTCATATGTTTTCTTGCTATCTTTCTACTTAATACTTTCTCTGGCTTTGAGGACAATTGTGTTTAGAATCAAAAAGGCTCCTCTTGCTATGAAGGTTCCATGTGGAGTGGAGTAAAGTAAGTCTCATAAGATTGAGAACGTCATATTTTATTCCTCCAATTGTCTATCTTTCTTTCTGACTTTGAATGAGACTTCAGTCCAGGACTCTATACAAAAGAGGAACTAAATTAATAGTTGTTGAATGTTTCGTATATAGAGGTAACAGAGAAGTTTATCACCTTCTGATTATAAATATATGTCAATTAGTCTTTGAAAGCAAGACAAGTTGAGAATAATTAGGAGATTAATATATACAAAAGGACATAAGATAAGGCTAGACCACCTTACATGGACTTCTGTAGTATTCTGTGGCTTTTGATGTTGCTATTCCGGACCATGTCTTGTAGTAATCATTAAATGAGATTGCTTTAGTTGATCTGAAAATATACACTGAAATCAGATAATGAGTATTGGCAAGTTTCCTTTTTAAAATTATTTTATCAGAGTAGATTGTTTCAGATAACATTATCCTGCTATAAGACATTAAACTGATTTGCCATTTCTAACAAATGATCTCTCAATTTCTCCACTAACACATACAAATCACAAAAAAGAAAAACTCTCCAAAACATATTTCAAAATAAATGTAAAAAATGTACACCCATGTGTATATTATAAAAAGAAAAAAACAATTTTAAGATATCTGTCTGCCTTTCATGACTAACATTAAAAAAGGATTTTAATAAAAGCATCATATTTGTACTTCTTTTCTTTCTACAATAAACAGTTTTCTTAAATATCTTTGCCAAATTTCAGTAAAATCACTTTTATTTCTTTTTTATTATGAGGAGAAGTAAAACACCAGAATTGAGACCAGTTTAATTTTCACACAGAATCTGGCCATTTTCATAGAGGGAAAAAAACCAACTCTTCTAACAATCCTGCCTACACTTATCCTTCCTTGTGCTAATATTACTCTATTCTAATGGGAGAGCAAAGATTGTAATAAAATATTGAACAGGATCTGCGAAACAGTCACTTAAATAACTGCATTTCTAATTTATTTCCTACAAACAATTTAATTGCAGAGATTCTCAATGCTCTACAAACAAAATATTTCATTGGGCTGTTTTTCAGACATGTGAAATCACCAATTAGCTAGCTTAAGTAGATGCTGAAACATCAGACATAAAAGACCTTATGTCTGGTTTCCATTTGAAGTTCCTAGCTCTTTGGAGGAAGCGGCAACTTTTCAGTTAGAATGAGTACACCAGCATTAATTTTTATAGGTGAATTGTAGGTACCTTAAATATTGAACTCAATTTGGAAATGAATGGGACAATATCTAAATTCTTGAATGCATCATTTATTTAAATGATAATTACAGATGCCTAATTTTAAGAGTAACATTTTTTCAAATGTGTTATTGTTTTTGCAATCACACTTAAGTAGAAATCTGAAACTGGATGAAGATAAATTAATCACTACTATTATTGCTTCCAGAGCTACATGCGGTGCTTTACACCACTAAATGACATATTAAACTAACATTAATTTTGCCAACGAAATGTTTCGGCATTTGGCAACAGAGGTAACAAAGTGAAAGGCTGCATTATATCTCCTGCATGAAAAAGCTTGTGATCAATTTGCTGTCACAGATCATTTAGCAGACAACAATGACCCAAGAGGAAGGAAACTGTCAACACACTGTCTCGTGAAAAAAAATACACCATCTTTAGGCACAATCGTCTCCATTGTTTTTTTGTCTGTTTGACGACGACCCATGACCCTCTCCCTTCCCAGCGGTGTCCTGTTCAATTTCAAACTGTTAGCCTTCAGGGGCTTTCTTTTCTTCCCCAGAATAATTAAAAATATTACCCTAAAAGGTATGACTTTAGTATAGTTTGAATATACAAAGCAGAATGTCTTAAACATTTGAGAACACTGCATTTTCAATTCTGTAAAAGAAACACTTCTTAAAATAAGAGAACAGTAACAGTTTTTATGATTATTCAGATAAGGTACTAAGTTTAGAGGGAAGTATAAAAAATACATGTGTTTATAATTTGAAACATTAACAGGAATTTACTGAATATTATCATTAGCATTATGAATAAGGAAAAGTAGAAGATAATTTAAAACTGAACATCAGAGCTTATTATCCCATTGGGAAAATAAGATATATACCCAAATTAGCAAATAGAATAGCTTCACACCTTAACATATAAAGTGTTACATCATTTAACACAGACATTTGGAGGTGACAACGACAGATACTACTTTGGCAGTGGCAGTAAGCTAAAAAAGTTGGAAGAGAGAGATGTAACTTTGTCTTGGAGTCTTTAGGGAAAGAGTCACTTGGGATATGGACCTGGAACAGATGGAGGAGGCATTTTAAGAGAGGAGAACAGTATTAGCAATAGCTCAGATGGGAAGGAGCATGGTGCGTGCGCAACAGAGCATGTTGGGGGAAGAGACAATAGAAACGAGATAACTGACTAGGGTGGAGAGTTCCAATTTCAGAGGAATTGGAATTTGATAAAATAAATGAAACTGGGCAATGCAGGTCTTCAGATTTAGGCAGAGAATGGGTTAGAGTTGATTCAGGAATCTGATTTATTAGGTGATAGAGAACAAGCAGAAGTTCTTGAATAAGGCAAGTAAATTATGAACCGCGTGTCTGAGTAAGAGTTTTTTCTGGCGTTAGTATGCAGGGTGGAGTATATGAGAGATTAAATGCAGAGAGACAAGTTAGGAAACAGATGTAGTAATTCAGGCAAGAAATGCAGAGCTAACGGAGGGTGGGAGCAGAGACTATGGAGGTGAGGAGATGAATCTCTGACATGCTAATGAAATGACTGGACTGGTTTTCTGATAGGGTGTGAAAGGTGAAGGAATTTGAGGGTCAGATATTCTTCTAAAGCCCGGAAGACCATTTAGTTTTGCTATTAGCAGAAAGCATCTAGAGACTCTGAAGTAAAATATGAGTTTAAATTTAAACATGGGTTTTAGGTGATGACCTTTAAGAGTGTGATTGAGAAATTGAGACTGGAAATAAGAGATTTGGGTCAAATCAACATAAAGGTTGATAGATGATGCCATTAGGGAAAACAAACACAGAAAGAGTAAGTAAGTGTTTAGAAAAGAAAGATCGGAAACCAATTCAGAGTTAAGGGGAGCCAGTGAAGGAAACAAAAAGATCATTAAGGGAAGAAGAGAGTCGGGGTAGTGCTAGTTCATGGAAGCAACATCCCAGCCATAACCCAAGCCTACTAATTGCTATTAGTAGTAATTAGTATAACCCAACCCCCACAAATCTCTGGATATTTAGTCATGTAATATCATGATTAAGAGTACAGGCTCTGGAATCATCTGGCCTGTGTTAAAACACTCAGGTACCACTACTTTTTAGCTGTGTGACTCTGCGCAGATAACTATTTCACTCCTGTTTCCTCATCTATAAAATTAAGAGATAGAAATTTGTCCAGCAGTTGTGGTGAGCATTCTAATGAAATTATCCACAGGAAGAGCCAGGCAGGAGTTTAGCATCCCTTAGTACTCAGTGTCAGCCTTGGGCAAGTACCTCATCATATCTCTTCTGCAAACTCTACCTCAGTTTCTCTCTCTCTATTCCAGGACATCATGCCTCTGCTTAAAAACCACTTTTGGTTATTTAATTCTATAGCATGGAGTCTAAACACTTTCAAACATAACTTGGGGTTCATTAGTATCTGGCTATTTCCAACCATTTCTTCCCCCATTCATCTGCACATGCAGAGGCTCCATCATATGGAACTTCTCGATGATGTGGAGTACACCACAATATTACATTTCTGTGTGTGTGCAAGCAGGTCTGTCTGGAGACTTTTGTGTCTCCTGTGCTTGTCAAACTCTTACTTATCAAGGTTTCAGTCCAGTAAAAATAGTATGTATATGAAGGCTGTCACAGTGGACATTGTGGTTGCCTCTCCAATAACTATTCCACTCTTCCCCCTTATGTACATGACATTCAATCTGATGGGACTGACCTCCACCCTGACTCTGAGTCAGAGCCTGATGGGGTTAAGGCTGTCTGGCAATGATAACTATTTAGGGACAGGAACATGAGCCTAGAAAGATCTAATCGGAGTGAAATTTATTCTAACTTTCCAGTACACCTTGATATCTGAGAATGTCAATCCTCTTTGTTCAAGATTATCTTATCCTAAATCCTTTGCATTTGTAGATATATTTTTTTTACTTATGTATTTATTTTTTTAGAGGGAGAGAAAAGGAGGGGGAGGGGCAAAAGGAGAGGGAGCAGGGGAAGGAAACAGGGAGAGGGAGAGAGCGAATCTTAAGCAGGCTCCATGCCCAGCTTGGAGTTCGACACAGGGCTCTATCTCACAACCCTGAGATCCTGACCTGAGGTGAAATCAAGAGTCAGATACTTAATTGACTGAGCCACCCAGGTACCCCTGTAAATGTATTTTAAAACCACCTTGTAAATTTCCAGGAAAAAAATGTTGAGATTTTGACTACGATTGAGTTGAATCTATAGATTAATTTGGGAAGAAATGACATTGCAATAATATTGAGTCTCTCTCAAGTCACAAACATTGTATATCTATTTCTTTAGGTCTTTTGAAATTTTTTCCAGATATATCTTGTTGTCTTCAGCGTAGATGTCTTATTCCTCTCTTGTTACATTTTGATGCTATTACAATGGTATTTTTTTTTCCTTAAGATTTTTATTTATTTGAGAGAGAGAGAGAGGGAGCACAAGTGGGGGGAGGAGCAGAGGGAGAGGAAGAAGTAGACTCCCCCGCTGAGCAGGGACTCCATCATGGGGCTTATTCCCAGGACCCTGGGATCATGACCTGGGCCGAAGGTAGACGCTTACCCCACTGAGCCACCCAGGCGCCCCTGTAATGGTATTTCTAACATTTCCATTTCTGTGTATTGATTGCTACTGTATAAAAATATAGTTGCTTTTTAAAATGTTCATCTTATATGCAGGGACCTTGCTAAATTCACTTACTAATATTCAAGTTTATATATTCATTTGGATTTTAATATTATAAAATCCTGTTATCTGTGAATAAAGATGGTTTACTTCATCCTTCCCAAACTTTATAACTTTTTTTCCTGGCTTCACTGCACTGACTAGGACTTCCCATACAATGCTGAATAGAAGTGGTGATAATGGACATACATGCCTTGTTGCTAAACTCAGGACAAAAGCATTCAACATTTCGCATTTAAGTATGAGGTTTGCTGTTGGATTTTTGTAGATTCTCTTCACTGGAATAAAGAATTTCTTCTCCATTCCTAGTTTGGTGAGAATTTTTATCATGAATGGGTGAGAAATTTTAGCAAGTACTTTTTTCTGATTCATTGAGATCATTTTATGGTTTTTTTCCTTTATTTGGTTACCTTAGTTACACTGATTTTTACTGCATGGAGCCCTGGGTGTTACATGAAAACAATGAATCATGGATCACTACACCAATAACTAATGATGTATTGTATGGTGACTAACATAACATAATAAAATTAAATTAAATTAAAAAAATAAATTTTTAAATATTCTTTATTTTATTTTATTTTTTATTATGTTAGTCACCATACAGTACTTCATTAGTTTCTGATGTAGTGTTTCATGATTCACTGTTTGCATACAACACCCAGTGCTCCTTATAATATGTGCCCCAACCTGGCTTTCCTGAAATAAAGCCCTCTTAGTCATGATGTATTATCCCTCTTTATGTATCAGTGGATTCAATTTGCTAATATTTTGATTAGGCTTTATGCTTCTGTGTTTATGAGAGATATTGGCCTATGATTTTTCTTTCTTGTAATAATCTTACCAGATTTTCAAATCAGAGTTTGGAAGTTTGGAAGTATACCCATTATCTCTATTCAGTGAAAAAGTTTGAATACTTTTCTTCAAAAACTTCTTTTATTTTGAAATACATGCATACCTTGTTTTGTTGTGCTTTGCAGACCCTGCGTTTTTACAAACTGCAGGTTTGTGTTAACCCTGTGTCAAGCCAATCTATGGGTACCAGGTTTCCAATAGCTTTGGCTTACTTCATGTCTCTGTGTCACATGTTGGTAATTTTTGCAAATATTTTAAGCTTTTTCATTATGATATTGATTATGATGATCTGTGATCAGTGCTCTTCGATGTTACCATTGTAATTATTTTGGGGTGCCATGAACAATGCCTATATACTATATAGTATGGCAAACGTACTTGACAGATGGGTTCTGAATACTCTACCCACCAGTTATTCCCCTTTCTCCCCCTCCTCCATCCTCCCTATTCTGTGACACAACAATCTTGAAATAAGGACAATTAATAACCCTACAATGGTCTCCAAGTGTTCAAGTGAGAGGAAGAATAGCACATCTCTCATTTTAAATCAGAAGCTAGACATGATTAAGCTTAATAAGGAAGCATTATGAAAAGCAGAGATAGGCCAAAAACGAGGCCTCATGAACCAGTTAGCCAAGTCGTGAAGGCAAAGGAAAAGCTCTCAGAAGAAATTAAAAGTGCTACTCCAGTGAACACACAAATGACAGAAAGCAAAGCAGCCTTATTGCGGATATGAAGATAGTCTGAGTGTCTGGAGAGAAGATCAAACCAGCCACAACATTCCCTTAAGACAAAGCCGAATCCAGAGGGCCCAAGCTCTCTTGATTCTATGAAGGCTGAGAGAGGTGAGGAAGCTGCAGGAGGAAAGTCTGGAGCTGGCAGAGCCTGGCTCATGAGGTTTAAGGAAAGAAGCCGTCTCCATGACATCAAAGTGCAAGGGGAAGCAGCAAGTGCTGATGGAGAAGCTGTGCAAGTGATCCAGGAGATCGAGCTCAGATAACATATGTAATATTTCATAACCCATCCTTCACCTCCGTTTAATGTTAGTAAGTAAACGTCTGCAGACCATGTCCAAAAGACACTTCTATTCTCTTGATATCTGGCAACCAATCCCCTTCTCCCCTCCCCCCTTTGGTTTTGTACCTCAGCTCCTGAGATAGGCAACCCCTTTGGTTGCCTCAGGCATCTAGATTCACTTTTTATTCTGGATGTCAACTTACTTTCCATTAGGTCAGGCTGTGGGAAATATGCTCGCTCATATCTCCATGCTTTTGAGTTATTCTCTCTGCCTGAATGTCCTTCTTCTCTTGTCTGCAGGTGAATTCCTATTCTACCTTTAGAAATCACCTCAGGCATCACCTTCTCCTGGAAGCTGGCCTTTTTATGTCCCTTCCCCCACTCCAGGACTTTAAGCTTTAGGAAGATATTTCTCCCTCCAAGCTCCTCCAGCATCTAGATCTTATCTGTATAATACCACTTATTATAAGTATTCATGTAATAAAACAATTAATAGGTATGGCCCAAAGAAATGCTGGATTGCATTTGACAGAGGTAATACCAGTGATAGATGATTTAGTGAAAAAGTGAAAGCCTCTAAGGGGGGTGGGGGGAAGAAAAGCTACAGGGGAAGAAGTTTCTACTCAATATGACTCATTTTAAATATGCTTGCATTTGACCTTAGCATTCCCCCCGGCCATGATCCTGGTATTTGCTCTGTGGTCTTCCAACTACATCTTCTGGTAGAAGTTGCTCCTAGATGGTCCTGTAGGACTGAAAGTCAGGCATACTCCCTGCACAAACTCCTCTTCAGAGGAGAGCTTCCAATCCTAGATTATAAATCACATGAGATCAAAGATCACATATTATTCAGATGTGTGTCCCCAGGATGGGAGTACGGTGCCTGACAGAGAGCAAATGCTCAGTGAATACATTTTAAATAAATGAGTAAGTAACTGTTCTCCCAGAGGCTGCTCTATATCTTGTTAAGTGGTATCCTGCAGCCCATGTGCAAACATCCCAGATGACAAGCACAAGCTTAAATCACTTTCAATTACTGGACATCAAATGGATTCCCCTGACTATATTCTACTCAGTTGACTAGACTTTGCTTATGTTTTGTTATATCTTTTGGAAACAGGGTTTAACTGTCTGGCTAGGCCTCTGGAATCCATTTCTATAATCAGGTTAATTCTTTCAGCTCATGAAGTAAAGTTCTAGCAAATGGTGTTAGACTGACAAGGCTAAGAGCAGCATCTCTCTTGGAATAATTTCTGCAGGACCTCATTGTAAAATTGTACATAAAAACTAAAAGCTAGACTTAACTGAACTTTATCCCATAACAAATGTACCAGGCTAAACATTTGGATTCACAGACACATAATAAATTGCAATCTTCTATATACTAGGAATGTAGAGTATCTTTGAAATCTAGATTGTATTGCTTTGATTGAATCCTAGAGATTTCTCTAGAGATTTCAAGCTAGCACTAGGTGAACACCACAAATAAGACCTGATCCTGGCATCATTTATTCTTGATTTCATTCAGGTGCCTGCCAAAGCTGGGACCACAGAACTTCTTATGGCCTCCTCTTCCTGCCTTATCAGTAACTGCTGGCACTGTACCTTTATGCACTGCAAATAACCATATCACAAGTAGAAAGAACTTTGTAATATTCCAGGGACATTCATGTGTTGTAGGTGATAAAACAGTGTTTATGCATTCAACAACTATTTACCACAGGTCTATTCTGTGCCAAGAAGGTCAGTTGCTTCTCTCCACATTGACAAGTTTAAGGGACAGCAATATCCTTTACTGAATGCCAGCCTGGTGCACTACCCACTAAATTAGGCTTGCCTTTCTGAAATTTTCCAATACTTTCATAAATCAGAGCCACTTGAGTTACCTAATTTGTTCATCTTTTATACAGGGCCAGTCAAGGAGACCTAAGCTGAAGCAATTTATTTCAACACTAGTTAACTGGCTGTTTTCTACATCTGACTATCAAATTAAGGCTGATGGAAATGCTCAAGAAACTAAATGCTGCAGAACCATAATGAGAATATTGATCTATATCTTGTTCAGGTGTTCATGGCTAAATTGATGACACATTTTCATGTTGTCTCCTAAAAGATACAATGGGTTCATCCCTAGCTCACCATTTTCCTCTAGAACTTTATCTTTTCCTAAACTGCTTGGCTTTTTGTGATCTACAATGGTTCGTACTCATTATGTTGACAACATGTTTTTTTCCTTTTCAACAATAAAAAATAAAAATTAAAAGAATAGGCAAGTTCAGATAATCACATTCAATTTTAATTCAACAGTCTAAAAAGAATTCAATAACTTCCCACATTCTTCCTGAAAACAACATTTTTAAAAAAGCCTTGTAAGAGGGGGCGCCTGAGTGACTCAGTCATTAAGCATCTGCCTTCAGCTCAGATCATGATCCCAGGGTCCTGGGATCGAGCCCTGCATCAGGCTCCCTGCTCAGTGGGAAGCCTGCTTCTCCCTCTCCCACTCCCCTTGCTTGTGTTCCCTCTCTCGCTGTCTCTCTCTGTCAAATAAATAAGTAAAATCTTTACAAAAAAGTTTTTTAAAAAAGCATTGTAAGAGGAAAAGAGATCTACTTCCTTTTCTAAGTTAAAAAAGTGAAAATTCAATTATGATTAAAAAAATGTAAACAGTTTAAATCAATAGTCCTTTTAACAAATAAATTGAGGGGCTCCTGGCTGGCTCAGTTGGTAGAGCATGCAACTCTTGATCTGGGTTGTAAATTTGAGCCCCATGTTGGGTGTAGAGATGAAAGAGAGCAAGAGAGAGAGAAAGAAAGAAACTGGCATGGGACTGTATAAAGAAAAACTTACCTGATAAGTTTATCTTGATCTTTAGGAAACTCAGGGCTGTTATTTCTCACTGTAAAGAAAAACATGAAAGGATTCTGGTTGACTTGGAAGAATGAATATATGGCTTTATGTAAACTCTTTCCAAAACTTCAATAAAATGGTAATAGAAGAATAAAAATAAAGTATAAAACCTCAAGAAGAGGAAAAGAAAAATGGTAATAAAAATTTTCAAGATGAAGGGTGCCTAGGGGCATCTGGGTGGCTCAGTTGGTTGGGCATCTGGCCTTCGGCTCAGGTCATGATCCCAGGGTCCTGGGATCAAGCCCCACATCCTGCTCCCTGCTCAGTGGGGAGCCTGCTTCTTCCTCTCCCTCTGTGCCCTGGCTTGTGCTCTCTCTATTCCAAATAAATAAATACAATCTTAAAAAAAATGAGGGGTGCCCGGATGGCTCAGTCAATTAAGCATCTGCCTTGTGATTTTGGCTCAGGTCCTGAGATTGAGCCCAGCGATGACCCCTGCATCTAGCCCTGTGTGGAGTCCTGCACTGGGCTCCATGCTCATCAGGGAGTCTGCTTCTCTCCCTCTCCCTCTCCCTCTGCCCCTCCCTCTGTTTGCACATCCTCTCTCTCTCTCTCTCTCTCTCTCTCTCTGAAATAAAAAAATAAATCTTTAGATTTTTTTTTTTCAAGATGAAAGATGTCAAGAGGTAACTGTCTTAGCCAGGAATTTGAAACCTAATGACTGAGGAGGGGACACTAATAAAAAGCATGCAGATTTACACTTCAGAGAAACAGTTCAGGAATTGGAGATGTCAGATGCTTCTGAAATGTAGGAGGTATAGCACAGACATCAAACACTTATATCTTCACCCTGTACAAGCAGCTGATCATCACTACCAAGGCAGGATGGAAGATACTTACTTCCTGGAGAAACTGAATCAGAGACTCAGAACTGAAGGATGTTAGGTACAAAGCAGGATAAGAGTATGGTGAGGGACTGGAAGCAGAGAATAAATCATTAAATCTTATTGGATAGATAGGACTCCTTATTCTTTCCCACTGTCCAACTCCCAGAGCTTAAGCACCTAGTGTCTCTCTCTCCAGGCACAAGACTGGAGGATTGATTTCAGGAGAAATAGTTAAGCCTGACTAATGACATGGCTAGGTCATCACTGAATAACCCAATAAAGAAATAAAACTGTCAACAAATCTAGTCTGTATTCAAATATTTCCAATATTTTTAATGATTGATTTGCATTCTTCATATGTCCATCAATGGATAAAGATCACTACACATTTGTGTAAAGTCAATATCGTGAAAGATAACAACCAAAACAAATAAACAGGGAGAAAAGTAGGAAATAGAAACATACTTTGCTGGAAACCTTCCAGAATATAGAACAAAAAACAAGGAGATGGATAATAGAAAATAGATGTTTCAAAATTAGAGGAGCAGCTCAGTAGATTCTGCATCCAAATATGTAGATATTTAAAAGAGAGAATAGTGAAAATGGAGGGGGAAATGATAAAAGAAATAACATAAATTTTTTAGAACTAAAGGATTAGAATTTGAGATTTAAACAGCCTAGCAAATGCCCTATATAATGAGCGAGGAAGGAAAAAAACCACATCAAAAAACATCAAAAAATTTCAGGGGCTCAGTTGGTTAAGTGTCTGCCTTTGGCTCAGGTCATGATCCCAGGGTCCTGGGACTGAACCCCGCATCGGGCTCCCTGCTCTGCAGGAAGCCTGCTTCTCCCTCTCTTTCTGCCTGTAGCTCCCCCTGCTTATGCTCTCTGTCAAATAAATAAATAATATCTTTAAAAGAAATTTCAGATCCCTGGGAATAAAGAGGAAATTTTAAGTTTTAGAAGGAAAATACATCGCATGTGAAAAATTGTACATAGTGAAATCAGACTGCTCAAGAGCAACACTAGAAACTACAAGGTAATGGGATCTTTACAATTCTGAAGGAAATTTGCAAACTAAAATTTAACTAAATTGTGAACATAAGACAGTGGAATAAATACATTTGTAGGCATATAAACTAATAAAAGATTTAGCTCTCATGTACTAGAAACCTCCTAGAAGAAGTGCTCCAATGAAATGAAGGAGCAAACCAAGCAAAAGAAAAGCAAGGGATCAAGCAGGAGCTCCAATTCAAGAAACAGGCAAAGCATCATCCCAGGACACCTACCAGAGAACTGCCAGCTTGGAACTGAAGGAGGATGGAATGCCAGAGGAAAGAGGTCTCCAAGGGAGTAAAATGCAATTGATGGACTACCTGGGAGTTGTTTTACAGCTTTGTCACAAAGTTTAGGGGTAGATAGTAGATATATTAAAAAACAAAAAGCAAGAGAATGAAAAATTGGGCCATTTATACAAGGAAAGAAAAAGAATCATTCACAGTTCTTTTGTGACAAATAATTACTAAGTCATAGTAAGTATTAATGCAACCAAACTATATTAGGAAGAGGGGAAGAGAAAGATGGATGGAAATAGTATAAGTCTAAATCTTTATATTCAGAAGAAGCCTACATGTAATATCTAAAACTGAACAACCCAGAAATATTAATATTACAAAAAAAAACTTAGAAATATAGTGGTAAGTTCCAGAAGAAATATGTGTTGAAAGCTGTTGGTAGTTTGTGGGGGTGGGGGCAGCACTCAGCAATGGAAGGTGTGGGGTTCCAGGGTCTGCTATGTTTCATTAAAAACCGATTTGTACGCTTCCAGGGAAGATGGTAGAGTAGGATCCTAAGCTCACCTCATTCCATGGATACAATTAGGTAACACCCACACCAGTGTAAATAAGCCAGAAAACAACCCAAAGACTGGCAGAACACATTCTTCACAGCTGAAGGTAGAGAAGAGGCCACATCAAAGAGGGTAGGAAGGGCAGAGTTGGTCAGGAGCCAAACAGACCTGTGGACTGTCTGCAGGAGGGAGGGACACTATGGTTGCAGAGACAGGAAAGAAACAGACCCTCACACCAGGCACCCCAGGGTTATGGATGAGGAAGATGAATCCCCACGATATTTGGCTTTGAAAACCAGAGACGCCTAACAATCAGTGGGGCTTAACACCTGGAACTTTAAAAAAATCAGCAGGCACTGCTCTGGGAGAGCCAAGAGGGTGACAGGAAACTGCCCTTAAGGAGACAACACAACAAACAGCCCTGCTGAGATACAGCACAGAAGCAGCAGTTTGAAAAATACCTGGAGTATACGGGGAAGGAGATTTATTTACTAATCTCAGAGCATGTGTTGGATGGGCAAGGAACTTTGGGAGACTTCTCCAAGAACAAAAGAGCTATTGCATGCCATTTGCCTCCTCTGCCACTTAGCCTAAATACATGGACACCTGCAGGAACCAGTGCAGCACAAACGCTCTGCACCTAGCTGGCTAATAGCTTTCCCTGTCCCCACGTTCTTCTGTGGACATGCCCTTCCATCCAAGCCTGGGCAGTCTTCCTAGGCAGTTGCAGATTCCCTCCCACACCAGGCCCGCACAAACCTTGCTAAAACCACGATTCCTGACTTGCTTTCTCCTGCTGACCTGTCCCCTCAAATACGCCCTTGGTGGGAGCCCATTCAAAGTGGTACAATAAGCCTGGCAGTGTGCAAGCAGCCCCAATAGGGGTCAGCACCACCCCAAAGTGACTCCTGAGCTGGGGAGAGGGGAAGATAACCACACACACCAGCCCAACTATGGCCCCAGCAGTGGGCCACAAAAGCTTCTCAGGAAACAACACATGGAATATGCCCTGCCATTTGATTCTATTGCATCTCTGGCAAATACCTGGTCTGACTCAGCTCAAGTCCAAGGTGGCCCCAGACTGACCCACTAACATCAAAGGAACAAAAGCCTGCTCACAACAGGAAAAGAGAGCCATTGCAAATGAGTGGACTGAAGCAAAAGTGGCTCATCCACAATAGCAGAGCACATGCAACACACATAGGAGACAACTCTGAATCACCAGGTTCTGGTGAACAGGGGACATTGGACTGCAGGGCACTACAGGACATCTTCATGAGGTCACTACTTCCAATAGCAGGAGACATCACCGACCTTCCTAACACAAAGACACAGACACAGAGAGTTAGACAAAATGAGGAGACAGAGGACTAGGCCTCAAATGAAAGAACAGGACAAAATCATAGAAAGAGAGCTAAACAAAATGGAGATAAGTAATATGCTTGATAGAGAATTTAAAGTAATGGTCAAAAAGATACTCACTGGACTTGAGAAAAGAGTGAAGGACCTCAGGGAGACCCTCAACAAAGACATGGAAAACAGAAAAAAGAACCAATCAGAAATTAAGGACTCAATAACTAAAATTAACTAAAATTAAAAATATATTAAATGGAATAAATAACAGACTAGAGAAAGCAGAAGAATGGATCAGTACCCTGGAGGACAGAGTAATAGAAATCAAGCTGAATAGGAAAGAGAAAAAAATAATAAAAAATGAAAATAGACTAAAGGAACTCAGCGACACCATCAAGTGTAATAACATTTGCATCATAGGGATCCCAGAAGAAGAGGGAGAGGAGGTAGAAAATTTGTTTGAAGAAATAATAACTGAAAACTTCCTGAATCTGGGGAAGGAAGCAGGAATCCAGATCCAGGAGGCACAGAGAGCCCCCAAGAAAATCAACCCCAGAGGTCTACACAAAGATACACAGTAATTAAAATGGCAAAAAATACTGAAAAATAATTTTTAAAGCAACAAAAGAAAACAGTTATATACAAGGGAAACCTCATAAGGCTATCAGATGATTTTTCAGCAGAAACTTTCCAGGTGAGAGGGAAATGAAAACCTTCATTTTCTTACACTAAAAATGCTGAAAGAAAAAAAATCTGCACCCAAGAATACTCTATCCAGCAAGGCTATCATTCAGAAAAGAAGGAGAGATAAAGACTTTCCCAGACAAACAAAAGTTACAGGAATTCATCACCACTAAACTAGCCCAACAAGAAGGGCTAAAGATGTATCTTTGTGGAATGGAAAGATCATAAGCAGGAATAAGAAAAGTAAGAAGCACAAAGGCAGTACAATTAAGTATA